GGAAATTTTGGCAGGGAGGGTGGGGCAGAATAGGAGAAAGAAGTAAGATCGAAGATAAAGAGTGAGAGCTGGTATAGAGAGAGAGAGAGAGAGAGAAATAAAATAGAGTGATTGTTTGTATGTGTGTTTGGTTTGGGTGTGTAAAGAGAGAGGAAAGAGGGGCAGGGAGGAAGAGGGGTTTGGAAGGAGAAAAATAGAAGAGGGCGAAGAAAAATACAGGGAAAGGAGAATGGCTGAGAAAGAGAGAGAGAGAGAGAGAGAACATACACAGACAGAGGCAGAGAAGGGGGCAGGAGGGGGAAGAAAATGGGGGAGGGAGGGAGAGGAGTTAGAGTAGTAGCAACAGCAGTAGTAGTAGTAGTAGTAGTAGTAGTAGTAGTAATAGTAGTTGTAGTAGTAGTAGTAGTAGTAGTAGTAGCAGTAGTAGTAGTGGTGGTGGTGGTGGTAGTGGCTAATCGGCCACAACGTCCATTCCATTAATTACAAAACAACTAATACAGTGTGAGATATAAATTGTTAAAAACCAAAATTCAAAGCATGGAAATACATGCAAAAGAGGAACATCATACAATACTAACACTATTGTGAAAAGATAATTTTTTTTGTTTAGATAGCATACAATTGTCAATATTTAATGGAAAAAGGGAAAACAAAAACAAAAGCCTTTTTAATGTATTATATCAATACCACAAAGCAATAACTGTCTTTAAATGATTCCAGGTAGGAATAACTATATCATTATAAAGCTGCATGTCTAACGCTCAATCCTAACGATAATTACATTATACAAATACTTGATGTCGTGAATCACCTTCAAATAATTGAATTGAATTGAATTGAATTTATTTTCTTCTGCAACATACAAATCAAATTACATTTCAGCAATACAACATATACGAAATAAAACAAACTACATTTTAGCGATACAACGTATACAAAATATAACAACTGTTTTGAACGTGTACACATAACAATAACAGAAATGTTAACATTAAAACAGAATTCGACCTGCAGGAGAAGGGATATAACAGTATTAAAGTGCTTGTTTGAGGGATGGATGATTTTTTTTTTCATGGTGATGGTGATGATGATGATAATGATAATTTGTTCTGATAATCACAACTAACAAGGTAATTTCATAATTCCATGTCAGCTTTTTGGAAACTGTCAGAACAAAAAAACAAAACAAACTACATGATATATACATATTTCAGATTCCCCCTATACGCTAGGACAAAAGGAACCTCAGGACAGAATAGCCTTGACACAAATCCAATTAGTTTAATATCCCGGACACTTGTACGACGGGTAGTCGGGTGGATAGTGTTCAGGGTTAATTGCCAAGGGGGTGAATTTCCTATAAATACAAGAACAAATCATATGGCAAAACTCTTTTAACAGTGTATCGTTGTTAGCACCAATTGCCATACGTCTTTTATAGAATTAGAACTGCTCAAGTAAGGTTCATGAAATTCGTGGTATTTACATGGTATATGGATACACATTAAACATATATATTCATAACCGTGCAATATCTCGCGGCAGTACAGCTCCGTCTCTAACAGTTTTGAAGTTTATTTGTTCCACATTTACATTAAAAAAAAAACAATTTAAATTCTTTTTTTTTTTATACAAGCGTATATTGAAGCATTGATTACACACACTAAAATATTAAAGATTTCAAATCAAGTATAATGTACGGAAGATAGCCTAGGTACGAAGTTTCGTAATATATAGATATGACAGGCAAGGTAAAAACAATGTAAAAGTTAGTGGTAGGATCGACATTGAGTTTCATGGGGCTAGTGGAGCAATGTGTAGACCGATGGGGATGTAAAATCAATGGAATGCAGAACAAGTGGGATGTCGGCGGATGAAATGTAGACGCAATGTCTACCACTATGGGACATACGAGGTAGACCAATGGGGTAAACCAATGAGATGTAGAATCAATGGAAGATAGGGGTAAACCAAGGGGGTGTACACACAAAAAGCAAGAAGGAAAGTCACTAATACCCCATTCACAGTGGCCTCAAACACCGCGACAGCAGCGGGACTGTCCCGCTGCTGTCGCGGTGTTGTCTTCAGTGTGAAGGCTCGGACCCGTTATAAACTATCGCGGGATAACACCGCCTCGCGATAACGCCGCGACAAACTATCGCTAGGTTCGCCTAGCTACAGCAGCGGGACAGTCCCGCTGCTGTCGCGGTGTTTACTCAGTGTGAAGGCTCTCCGCTATAACACCGCGACAAACACGTGTGATTTGTTTACTTACCTATCACTGACCTCTTTTCTCCAGCAATGGGGAACATAAAGTGAAATAGAAATAAAGTAACCAGTGGATTCAAATTGATTTTATTATTATGTAGATATTATAATTATCCAAATAAAAATATTTCACACTTCAAAAAATTAAAATATTCTGACTGGAAGCAATAAAAATGCTAGTTTTTTAAAAAGTAATATGATCGAGGATACAAAAAGCTAAATCGAGCTAGCTACATGAGGAAGAGTGTGTAAAGTACAGCTAGCGCGCGCAATTTCAAGCAATCGAAAACCCCGCGCTGAAGTATTTCCGGTCATATCGGGGTCACTCGCGGGTCATGAGCCATGCATACACGTGTTTGTTACGGAGGTAATAAAAATCACCCGCTGCAGCGTGAATGGGTACATGATATTTATCCCGCCGCTGCAGCGGGATAACTTTTCTACTGTGAATGCATTTGTAGCGGTGTTATGGCGGTGTCGCCGCTCCGCTACAACGCCGCTACAAATTGCAAAACCACTGTGAATGGGGTATTAGTAATGTATGTAGTTTTCTGTCTTAAGTCCTTTTTAAATGTTCTTCTTTGTTAAGGGGTGTTGATGGGGAGCGGATATGATTTAAGATCATAGAATCACTTAATCTAAGTAGAAGCAGAAACGATCAAACAGATAGAAAAGCATAGACAACATTTTTAGGAAAATCGGACAACTAATAAGAAAGTTATTAACTTTTTAATGACATGAAAAACTATGATAAACTGTACAAATCACTACACAACTCACCAGTTATTTTTCTTGTATTGTTATCACGTATCTTTGTGTGTTTTGTTTTTTTGGCCAATCAAATGATTTTAACTAAAATATGAACATAGATATATTTGTACATGGAGTTTTATGTATTTGCATGTAGACACTAAAACAGCGTAAAAGATTGCTTCGTAATCATGAGAAAGTTGTATTCTGATATAATAAACTTCATTTTACAGTGATTATGAAAATGTAATATTTTGTAAACAATCTCGCTTTTGTTTTATATTCATGAAATATTTTGTGACGCTGTGCATTTTAAACATATTTCTTCGAATATACCTTGGTTCAAGATACATGTATGAAAACTCGACAAACAAAAAATGAGAAATTGAATTGTCAATATTACAATATTAATTGGTGAGTTGTGAGGAAAAGATGTCATTGCGTTACCAATCTGACTAATGTTTTTTTGATAGTTTTTCACGTCATTACAACTATCATAACTTTCTTATTCCTTATCCGATTCACCTCAAACTTGTTATATTTCTGTTTGTCTCATTTTTCTGCTTCTATTGAAGCAAGGTATATAATTGGACTGGACTTAGCTTACATCAGCATTTTTCATTCTTTGTCACTGTCAAATAATATTATTCTGACACATACTCACTATAATCGCTACAATGTATAGTTTTAAAGGATAAGTGAAATATAATATAAGTACAGAACATTCCCTTATATTTTGTAATGCTTGTGTCTTGAAATAATTGTATCATCTGTTTTTTGTAAATGTTTTTTTTTAAATTAAAACGGAAACTTAGGAGGTACATTTTTCATCATGGAAAAAAAAAACGATCCTTCGAATTTCGTGTGTGTCAGCTAATGATGTCACTCAAGACAATGCTTTGTTCTAACATTTTTTTTAAAATAAGATTTCTCAAGTTTAATCTAATTTTGGAAGAAAACTTGGAAAGGGTTTTCCTCATGTTTAATTGGCAAGATACAATCCAATTATACAAATTTATCAACGACTTCCTCATCTTTCTCTCTCGCTCTCCGTTTCTTCTATTTCGCTGAATGTCAATTTTGTTTTCTCCTTCATACTGGCCTAGCAATTATTTAAACAGATAGCACCTCATTTTCAATATATGAGCTAGAAGGATTATGAATTTACAAGTCATCCTACTTCTATAAAGTGATGCACTCCTCCCATTCCCTATCATTTCAACAATTGCAGGTGACGATTCGGCTAAATCGTCTGTCATCCTCCGATAAAAATAGAAACTGATTAATCATTTGTTTAAGGTGAACGAAAGAGTCTTCTATTTAATGGTTGGTTGCTTGTGTTGTTAATTTTTATCTGACTGCTGTGAAAGCATGTGTATGCTTGTAGGTAAGCAACCAGGAGACTGAAGGCTTCAAGACCTCTCCGAGAGCATTGGACGAGGATTATTGCCTAATTGACTGGCACTAGCGCATCGAATTGGTGTTGAACCCTGGACCTTCACGTTATCAGACCATTGCTCTACAACTGAGCCATTGCGGCTCCTTCATCTTTCATTAATGATAACTGTGCATTGATTATTGAAAGGCACTCTTGTGTGGCTTTTCTGGCAGACGGTGATGACCAGCTGATACACCACTTTGACAATCTCCAAGAGCAGCAATTTTCAGTAGAGTAAGGCAGTAAGTGTCACCGTGCCTATGTCAACCGTAAAAGAATATTGTACTTCCTCTTCCATTTGTGATCGATTTGGGTCCTGCCTAACTGATTATTAACAGTCAAGGGTTTGTGATATATATGTCCGTGATGATGGTGCCCTTTTGATGTGCCAATTTGACAATCTCCAGGAGAAGCACTTGTTTAGTCCTAACAAGGAGTGAGTGTTCTACTTATGAACTAACGGGAGAGTGTTGTACTTCCTCCTGAATTTTTTATCACTTTTGACCCTGCCTAACTTTGGATTGTGCCTTGATTATTGGCCATGATGATGAACGAGACGATCGAGGAGCATCATGCGTGTGAGGCTGAAGAACATCACGACGACGAGGCATTGCATGATGAGGTCAATATCAACGCTGTTACCAGCTTAACCTTCTATATCATGGTTTTAATATCAGGAATACCGGGTAATGCCATCATCCTGCAGACTTACGCATGGAAGAAACGGAAGAGCAGCACGGATGTCCTCATCATGGCCCAAGGCACGGTCGACTTCATCGCTTGCTCATTCACGCCAGCATGCATCGTCGAGAGCGGCGCTCCAGACCTGATTACCACCACTTTGTGTCAAATGAAGTTCTCAGTAGAAGAGGTTACAGCTCTTACCTCGCTTTTCTTAACCACACTGATCAGTGTCGAGCGTTATTTGGCAGTATGTCATCCATTGCGACGTCGAGTGACAGTACGAAGGTGGACTGGGGTGGTGATTGTTTTTGTTGCTCTCGCAACAGCATTTAGTATTCGATTTGCGATGTTTTCTGAAGTATGTTCTTTACATGAGACCACGGTGTGTCAACAGCCGACATCACTGGGCTATTCCTTATCAAAGACTGCGTTTTTTCTTGTATCGTTTACGACGACCACCATCCTTTACGCCCTCATCTACGCTTTCCTGCGAAAGAGAGCAAAGATCCACGCCGACCTTGTAAGCGGTCAATTCCCACAAGCGACAGTCGGTCCGGATTCGAGTAGAGCACTAGAATCGATGGTAAACCGCACAGGTACGAGTGCTAATCCCCGCCTTTCGGAAAACATCGCAAGCTTCGAAAACAAAGTTGAAACAATTCCTATTCCATCACCTTTAAGTTCTCCAGGATGTTCAAGTTATACTAATATGCCACTTCCTTCACAAATTGAGGTTGGTTGTTCGGTTCCAAATCCGAATCTGACATTATCGTCAACCGAACAGTCACACGGCAGCGAGAAACCGGCTCTTTTACTGCCGATAGACATGAAGGCTTATTCCACGGCAAGTCCTTTCCAGCATCGGGTTCGCGACACCAATCGTACTGACGAGCCGAAGAACCGAAAAGAACATGACTTCGGCAGAAAGACGACCCGAATGCTTCTCGTCATGACCATGTATTTCTTCATCACCTGGCTCCCCCATATTATAATAATCCAAATACCCCATTCAGTAATAGAAGAAAAGGGGGAAGAAATTGAAGGATTTTTTGCTTTGATTAGCATTCTCTTGACGGTTAGACTCACTAATCACACCGTCAACTTCTTTGTTTATTATTTCGTCAGTAACAGCTTTCGAAGAGACGTGAAGGACTCTTTCAAAATCTGCATAGCCAGGAAATAGTTACTTTATAAATATAATGACCGTTAGATGTGAGGAGTCATTTTGATTTGGTTATTACCCGCACTAATCAAATTATGAAGGCAATTAGCGTATATGCTAGTAATTTAACATACTGATTACCCTGTTAGTTTTGCAATCGTTGTTACCTTTACTGGGGCAGACAAATGACGTCTCGTGTGCAATGTTTATTAGAGCTCTAATAACATAATCCTCCTCAGGGCCTAGAGTTTTTTAAAGCCAGTCGCACATTACATGATCGTCCTGCGATCCGATTTATCCAGAAATGGCAATTGTATTAGATCTAAACAAAAATCCTCCTCCTGATTTATAGCTTCTAAATAAAGATAACATTATTAAAAACCGGACTATTAGTGCATTTATTTTTTCCAGTCAGAATGAAAGCTAAATCGGGTTCACATCGTAGACAATAGCATTATTGGTCTGACATAAGCACGATTCTGAGCCGATTATTCTTTTCCTCTTCCAAGGAAGCACAAAATGCCTTTAGATTGAGATTTTCTCAATCATATAACTGTTAAGATCATCGGTCAATAAGAGTTTACATGTTTCAGTTTACGAAATCAAATGCTATAATTACATATTATTCCGAAATCGGATCGTAGTCGGAAAGTGTGCGGTGGGTTTTAGGAGCACTTGCCTCAAAACTCTTGGGCAAGTACAAACATAAAAAGTGATTGGGCACATTTGGCTAGTAATAGGAAAAAGCTGCTCAATATTAGGTAAAAAGGGAAGATACATGTTTATCCCCATTTGCGGTGCATTTTCTCCAACATTGTGATAAATGTATTACCAGCCAACTCGCATGATCCTTTTTACCCAGCATTTGGTAAAATTCTACCCACCGGTTCTTTTATAGTGTAAAGGGAGCGGCGATAATCACCCATCTTAGTAACACCATCCGTAATAGTGTTGAGAACATGTTTTGTTCAACACGATGTTGTAGGCTTCCTCAAAGAGCACATTGTGGTCATTATTCTACGAAAAACAAATAATTTGTAGTGTCGTCATCGATTCGTCATGTAGCGATTCGCTGTTCAATTTACATATCTATCTGAAACAACATAATAGAAAGGTAGGATAAAATGTCGGAAGTTACTGTTGGGCCCAAGGAATTACATACAGATGTCACAGATTTGCTCTGAATTCTTTTTCTGCTTAAATATCATATAATTTTTTTGTGTGGAATTTATAAGTAAATTGTTTTCCAAAAAACACAGCTCAATTGTTTGTAGTCCTGAAGTAATTATGATTGATATTTCATTGATTTTACTATTTTCTTTTTAGGTTTTTGATTTGGAAAGCAATGATCATATATAGAGCCACAAACCTCAAAAGATATATAGTTTAACTGGTTAACATCAGTAGTTAAATTTTTCAAAGTGAATTCCCAGTTCACCTTACTCAATTCAGTACAGAATAATAATATGTTTTCTTCATAAATATGTCTCACACTTTTTGATTTGAATTCATAATAAGATTATAAATACAAAATATAGGTATGTGGTCACTTACATGGTATGTAATAATTCAAGACAAATAATCATCACATGTGCTGTTAACGAAAATATTATTCAACAAAGTTGAGGTTTCTATAATGATTCGAGTTGGCTTTGGCCATCCAAGGCGAGTTTTTTCTACTCGCAGCACTACAGGAAAAATCTGAGTATTGGAAAAGCATTATTTATAATTATAAGTTCATAAGGACAAGTGTGACTTTGTGTGACAAATTATAAATAATGCTTTTCCAATCATCAGATTTTCCTGTAGTGCTGCGGGTAGGACAAATTCGCCTTGGACGGCCAAAGTTGGTACAAAGGGGGACCATGCAAGCAGCTGACTTCTCCTTAATGAAATGATCTCCAACTTGTTTGTCTATATATCTACATATCCATATGTCTATCTATGTATCTGTATGTCGATTTATATATCTGTCTGTTTATCTATATATCTTTCTTGTCTTGTCTTCTTACTTGTCTGTCTATCTATAAATGGGATTGTCTATCCATATTTCGTGTAGGCTCATGCAGGTTTGTGTAACTATTTGATCATGATCAAAACCATTCCACAATTTTGGTGTATTTTCCATATTATTGTCTTGACTATTATTGTTTAAAAAACGCTTTATCGTATTCGTTGACTTGGATTTTTATTGTACATATATATTGTCATCAATTGGAATTCGTGACCACGCACTTGAATGGTTCATGTCCTATTTGGATGAACGGCAGCAATTCATGAAAGATCTGATCCTGTCAAGCTCAGTTGTGGCGTCCCGCAGGGGTCAGTCAGGGGGCCGTTGCTATTTTCCTTGTACATCACTAGGCTCAAGCAAGTTTTACAGCAGCATGATGTCAAGTATCACTGCTATGCAGATGACATCCAGATCTACGCATCGTTCCTTCCCAATCAAAACGCAAGTCGGACTGTCAAACTACTCGAAGCTTGCGTCAAAGATTTGCAAACTTGGATGAACTCGAACTCACTCAAACTGAATGATAGTAAAACTGAACTAATTTTATTGGATTCCAAATCAAATCTTGCTAAGATACAGTCGTTCAATATATCCATATCAGATTCTGTAATTAGTCCTTCCTCGCAATGTCGTAACCTTGGTGTCATGTTAAACTCGTCTATGTCATTGTCAACTCATGTTTCTAGTATTTGTAAGTCAGTCAGATATCAACTAAGAAATCTAGGTTTTATTAGGAAATACTTAAGTCGTTCAACCACAGAGAAACTTATACATGCTCTTATTTCATCACGCTTAGATTTCTGTAATTCTATTCTCTATCTACTCCCTAACACACAACTTTCTCGACTTCAGAAACTGCAAAATACTGCTCCACGTATTGTCACACTTTCTTCTCGTAGAACCCACATCACCCCCATTCTCAAAACTCTTCACTGGCTCCCGGTATTTGACCGAATCATTTTTAAGTTGTTGTTGTTAGTTTTCCATTCATTGTATGACTCTGCTCCTTCCTACAATATCAAGTTGATTGTTAAGTATAAGCCTACAAGACGTCTTCGTTCATCTCAATCCTCCTTATTAGTTGTCCCTAAGACGCGCAGTTCCTGGGGGGATAGAGCTTTTTCTCATTCTGGTCCGTCCCTTTGGAATAAGCTGCCACTTAGTATTCGTAATTTAACTACCCTTCATGCCTTCAAAGTTGCTCTAAAAACCCATCTCTTTCTAAAAAGTGCTATTTAATCATGTCAATCTAGCGTAATAATTTGTGTTGTTTTAGTTTACTTTATTTTAGTTAATAATGTTATATTTTTGTGATAGTAATACATGTATGTACAGCGCCATGAGCGTCAGAGCCTGGCGGATACCGGCGCTATATAAATATCCATATTATTATTATTATATATATATATATATATATATATATATATATATATATATATAAAAATTAAATTCAAAATCTCTAAACATTTTCCCGTACTGTTCTCTACCCTATTACCCTGGTTGATTCGTCTTCATGGTAAATGAGAATTTCGTTACAGTTTTCCAAGGTGTTATCATCACTTTCCATCATCATCTTTGCTGTTTGATATATATTTCGTTGTAATATTTATCACTACAAGTTGATATCAAAATATAATATTATCAGCACGTTCACTTCTGAGTAGGCATTTCAATTCAAATTTAAAATCTGAACGGATTGCAATTCGATTGGATGTGATATTCTACAAACTTTTCTAAGCGGAAATGAACAAAAGGCATTATTATTTGTTTGATTATTCATCATTTATAAAGCTATCATGACGATTATGTGTTGGACTTCTCTGCACTGTTATAATGAAATTTAATTTTTATCTTCGTAGGAAAAATACTTGTGAAACATAATTCAGTAAACTAATCAAGCTAATTAGATATATTTAAGACGAATACAATTTTACTTTCATTGTGTTGATACATTATCGACGAATAAAATGTACACAGCCCATATGCTCTGTATTTGATGTAATTGAATTAAAAAACAAGTGAATTAAAAACGCATTGATAGTACTCTTTAAAGCCACACTGTCCTACTTGTAGCTACTTGCTCCCTCTATGTAGAAAAAAATGTTTAATCGGTGACCATTGGTCCCCCATGATCCTCTATTTCGTATGTTAATTGAGAGCTAATTTGATGAGATAACCACCTGTCCAGTGACCTTGCAGGGTAGTCTAATCCCCTATAAACTAGTGCAGATAAGCTTTAAAGCAAAATTCTACCCCCTTCACTGTTTCAATTAACTAGTTGACTATCAATTTATAGTTTGATAGATTCATGGGCGCCCTATATGTGGTTTTATCGAACTTCATGATTGCATGCAACATTGATTGAAGTACATGACATGAATCATAAAATTAATCAGGTTGAAAAGCATAGTATAAATTACAAATAATGGTAAACGAAATTAATATATACGCCTTTTAAAACGTTGAATAAGTAACGTTTAATTCATAAAAAGCAATGCTCAATAGATTCTTCCAATAATTACATACATGAAAATACATTACCCGAAATGATTCCATCTCCTTTTCCACGTTTTATTTTGAAAATTCGTAAAGTTATTGTTTGTCAAATGTAGAAGTTATAAGAGACTAATCATTATAATTAAAGGAGTATAATTGATTTAGATTCATTAATTGAGTTTGCTCAAAAAGCTCAGTGATAATAAATTAAATTGGAGACACATTCGGAAACGAGTTTAGATGAACTTTACTTATTACCTTTGAATTGACAGCAATTCGATTTGTTCGACGCATTATTTATACATGCACGTATTATGATGCAGGCTACATTGATAAAGATTAGTTGAAGGAGACAAAGTTATTATTTGAGAAAAAGATGTAGTCCCCAAACACGAGGTACAGAACGTGAATGTGCAGTGGAAAAGTTCGATAGGGGTATTCGTATAATGAAAACGAGGAGATTGGTCAAGAAGGGA